ATATACAAAAGCTTGGAGGAGAGACTGTCTTAAGTAAAAATCCCTCAACAACTCCATATTATTTCACATTTCAGAAAAAAAAAATATCAAGCAAGGCAAAAAAAAAAAGAAGAAGTAGTATATTAAAAGCTTGCCTTCCTTAAGTAATACGGAATTTCGGATTTAGACCATCCTTTGGAAGACGAGATGAGTGTCTAGGAATAGACACAACATCTCTAGTAACTCCAATCCCAAACTGTCTCCAGTACAACAATTCCTGAATTACAGTGCACAAACCTCGGAGTAAAAAGGTGGGGTTGGATCAAAAACTCATTTTGAGACAAGTAGTATGTTTGAACAGGAAAAGCAAAATTAATCATGTATGGCAAACGATACAAAAATAGGTACACACTATGATGTTGGGATAAGCCATTTCTGAACAGGAAACTAAGGGCAACATTGAATGCTTTAAGCAGCGCTTCTAAGGGATTCAACACCATTCAGAATTAATTACCTCAGAACTGATGACACACTACACTAAAGAGACCCTTTATTTCCATATAAAGCTTAAGCCAACAAGAAATCAGAGGAGTTCCATACAAGGAAGTGAACATGACTCAAGATGTAGTGCAGGATAGTTATATTGCCTTAAGAGTTCTGCTAAGTACACTTAACTTTCCAATTTTAACGAAGAGTCTCTTCTAACATAGAAAGCTTCAGACAAAACTCAGTAATTGCAGAATAACTTTAAAATACATCCGGTTCTACATCCTCCTGCATGTATCCAATCACATCCAATAGATTAAAAAAATTACATGATTTGTAAACCAAGTAAAGAGTTTTGGAATAGGATTTTCACACCCATGAGCTTATCATCAAATGTTCACCCATTTGTCAGTGGATAATACTAAGAAATTCATACTAACAAGATGACAATGCACATGAAGTGCTGTGTGTTCTGAAATGGAGTCAGTTTTAATTACCATGAATTGCTACCACCTATCATACCTCATTCTATGCAAGATACCACACCAGCTACCAATCCATAAACAATATTGTTTCACATACTTCATAGAACAGCTTAAAACACATCATGATATGAAATAATTTGTATTACATAGTAATTTAATCCCTGGCCACAGGGTTAATGTTGGACAAAGTCTGGAAACTTTTTTCCAATTTGAATTACATACATTAACTTTGCCACACACCACAGCACTAATGCATGTATTACTTCAGACATGCTCTAATTTAAAATAGAAACAAAAAAGTTGTTGCAAAAATACATGTCACCAATGTGGAACACATTCAAGATTGTATAAAAAGTACTGAACTGATATCCCAAAACAGGTATATTTAAGCAGTACATAAGGAAAGATTAGTTTTAATATGAAACAGTCATTTAAGTCACATACAACATGATAAGAAGCACGACTTCCTTTCTTAAAAATATTACACCAATACTTTTACTGCCAGGCAATGTTTATTTATAAAATGAAAGGGATATATTTAATGCAGATGCTTTATCATATTAAGTTGGAACAAAGATAAATGTTAAAAAGGTGCTACATTTGAACACCATTGATTTTGTAAAAATCTCAAACTGTAAAAAGCATTTCGCTTGCAAATATCATAGGCCCTGAACTGCAAACACTTCCAAACATTTGGGACTGTGTGCCTGCAGTTCCACTGACTTCGTCAATTCTCACGCGCTTGAACTTAAGCCTGAAAGACGTGACTACAAAACCAGTTCTTAGATGAAAGACTTCAGAGGTCACAAAGTATATTTGTCTTTGAGCAGCCTCCAAAGTTGTATTTTTTTGTTTTAAACAGAGCAAGCTTTATTACTGTCCTCCAGTCTCTTGCACATGAAGATATCAAATAATAACTAGGCCTCTAAACACCCTCGGGAAGTAAGTCTTGGTTCCATCTCCTGAAAGAGGAGATTGAGGCACAAACAGTTAACCTGCTTGTCTCAAGCTGTAGAAGAGTTCAGTAAAACAGCACCTAACACGATTTTTGATACCTACCCTCTAGCCTGTATGCAGCACTGCCACTTACCCCGACATCAATAAAACAAGTATTTTCAAGAGCAAATTACTTATTTTCTCATTTAAAACTGGTCTCTGGCAAAAAAGCTAAGTATTAAGGACAGTTTGATATAGTTGATACCTATTTATTTCAGCCTAGGGAGAAGGAAAAAAAAAAAAGAACATTTTGGGCAATAAAGGTTTCATTTCTGATGACAAGGAGCTATTTAAAAAGGACACAGACATTTCCCACAAAAATGTTAAGGTTTGTAAGATTTACAAAATCTTTGCAATATTTTTGGTGTGCAGCACCAGTACAGTCTAAATCACTAGTAACGAAAGAAGCACATGATAGTTCAGTACAAATTCTTTCATGTAGAGTATTACAAAAAAAGTCACCTATTCTAATCAACCCTCCCTCCCACCCACCCTTCTATAACTATTTTCTAATTCTAACCAGCTGACGTTTTCCTAGTACCTTACTAACAAAACATGATTTTTTTTTTTTCCTGTGCATACTTGAACTACTACTACTAGTCAATACATGCAGAGAAAAACAAAGTATAACCTTCTCTAGGTAAAGAGTCCAGGTATGCCAAG